TTGCCCTTAGATCTGAAGAATCTACATTGTAATTGTTAAGTTGCTCTGTGTGGGGGTGCTTTATTGATCTGTTTTTTGGATTTCCATTCATATTTCAGAAATAGAAATAGAACTCTGCTGCCCAAATAGATATATGAAGTAAGAAGTAAACATTAAAATAACTGAAGAAACACTTAAGTTTAGTGACAACGCCCATTTGACTTCAGAATGCAACAGCTATTTACAAGCTCACGTTGAAAAAAATATATGCAAAAGAGGGATCCTAAGGGATAAAGTTTTAATTTCAAATTAGTTAATTCAGATAAACCTAAATTTAGCCCACCTGAAGAGATCCTTACAGCTTAATTGGCCAAATTGTTTTCCACATTTTTCCATTCTTGCTTTTTATCTGAAGTTCGGCTTTAAAGTGATTGTCTACTTTAATGAGACAAGAAGTAGCTCTTTGCCTAGCAGTTCTTAATTATCTTACTTCAAATGAAATTCCCATCTTTATTCTTAAAAAAATACTATTGGGAAGGATCAAAATAGACCATGTTAAATTAATCAGGAACATCTTGTCTTGGCACTGCAGTCATGTATATATTGTTGTAAACATATTAGTGCATGCATAGCCATGTATGTCAGAGGCTGGCATTTGTTGTTAGGACCTCTTAAAAGTTGGGTGGTCCAAAGGCTACGGAAGGTGACTTAATGATGGAAAGTGAGGAGAAAGATGTGAGTTTCCAGGAAGTGAAGATTTGCCATTTTTTTTTCTCCCTAAGTTTAAGTGGCAGTTGAGGCTTTTTTCTGTTTTGTTTTTCAACTATGCTAAACCTGTTAGATTTACATGACGCTTCTAGGATGGTTTTCATTTATAGAAAATTGAATGGTTTGCAATCTCACAAAAAAGGGAACGGTTTCTCAGTGAAAGAAATCAATTGAGGTGGTTACCCTTTCTTGCAGTCAGAATTTGGACAGCTGTAGGTTCGTTCTTTAATTTGGATTCCTGCACTCACACAAATTGGATTAGGTTTAAATGATTCTTCTCCCATTCTGTGATTCCTGTAAAAAAATTCTCCACTCCACTTTTTAAAAATTAAGAGCTTTGAAGTCACCATAGCTGTAGTTTCTTTTAAATTATCTTTGCTTTAGCATGTCACAAAATTATCATTTTACATCTATTATTTGTGAAGACGTAGGCCTTCAGTTACAATTTTCACACTTCTCAATAGAAATAAAACAAAATCATACACACCAAAAATTGTACATCCAGCAGCTTTGCAAAATGATTTTAAAGGTTATATTCATCAATTTAAAGTTCAGGTGAACTTTTAGTCAGATGATAAAATATGCCTTTCTACTTACTAACATATTATTCATGTTCCAGATTATTTTTAATGAGTGGTTTGTTTTAGTCAGATGATTCTCTACAGCTAAGCCAGTGCTTTTATCTGACAGATACAGCTTTGTTTTTCTTGTGTCCTAATGCTAACAAGTTATGAATGACTGTATAATTCAGATATAATTTCTATAAATCTATAATTAATGGGGTGCTTGCTCTTTCTATCGTACTAGCATAAACTAGTACTGCTGGTGAAGCTGATCATTTTCTTTCATGCTCATCTAAGAGCCTATTAGCTACTTTAGAAAAATTGGATTCATAGGGAGTCACAGGGGGAAATCTCAGAGTACCATAGTACTCTGGTGAGAAATTAGATGATGATCATCTTCTAAAACATAAGCTTTCATGGTAAAAAGTTTATTTAACTTTGTACAACATTAAAAAAAACTTTTGACTATTAATAGTCCTCCTGTGTTATTATTGATAAGAAACATTGAGAAAAAATTAAGTTTCCATGAGAACCTGGCACAGGGGTTGGGGAAACCAGTGGACTTTGAATGATTATAGTTCTGTTCATTGATGAGCAGGAATCAGTTAGAAATGCTAAAAAAATTGGAATCAATATGCTGGATGCAGCAAGACCTTAGTGCTACAGATACAGCAAGCTCTAGAGGGTTCTTTATACCGTGTTTCTCCAACAATACGACCTCCCCCAATAGGAAGACCCAGCATGTTTTCTAGGCATAAAATGAAATTAAGCCCCTCCCCCCAAATTTAGGCCTATTTTAAAACATGCAAAATGGGGGGAAGGGCGGGGGCACTTGCCGTTAGGAGCGCCTTGCGGGCAGCAATTCCTTGCCACCAGCTCCTAATGGGCGATCATGGCAGAGCGCGGAGAGCTCCCTACTCCTGCCAAGCACCTTTGCGGCAGACCCAAGACCTTCAGCGCCCGCCGCTGTTGATTTCCCTTCTGCCCATGCTGCCGCCGCGTTTGGAGCTGCCACTTCCACGTTTGGAGCACCACTGCTGTTTGGAGCACCGCTGCCGTTTGGAGCTGCCGCTGCGTTTGGAGCTGCTGCTCCCACATTTGGAGCGCTGCCGCTGTTTGGAGCACTGCTGTTGTTTGGAGCTGCCACTTCCACATTTGAAGCTGCCGCCGCATTTGGAGCTGCCACTTCCGTGTTTGGAGCACTGCCGCTGTTTGGAGCACCACCGCCATTTGGAGCACCGCCACCACTCCAAACATGGCGGCATCTCCAAACGCAGAAGTGGCAGCTCCAAACATGACGGCGGTGCTCCAAATGGCAGCGGCACTCCAAACACGGAAGCGGCAGCTCCAAACGTGGCGGCGGAATGGGCAGAAGGGAAAGTAACAGCGGCGGGTGCCAAAGGTCTTGGGTCTGCAGCAAACGTGTTTGGTGGGAGTAGGGAGTTCTCTGCGCTTCGCCATGATCACCCGTTAGGAGCGGCTGGTGGCGAGGCTGCCCGCAGGGCGCTCTAGATGAGGATGCAAGGGGGGGAATTAAGTCACCCCTGAAAAGACGGCCTAGCCGTTTTTTCGGGGCTCAAAAAAATATAAGACCTGGCCTTATTTTATGAGAAACACGGTAGATAGTCCTTGACTTAAAACCATTCATTTAGCAACCGTGAAAGTTACAATGACACTGAAAAAAGTGACTGATAAGTCTTATCATCCAGTGTATCTATACTCTAGCAGCAGCAGCCAAGTCCTCAAGAGTAACAAGAGAATCTGCTTGGGCCCAAGTATGACATCCTTCTCTGGGAGAAGACTACCACAATCTCACAAGAAAAATCAACAACCTGTTGATTTGTTCACTAGTGCCCAACATTAATTCTGCACTCAATGAGTGTGCAAGATAGAGACCTTTCTTTTTTATGAACTTCATTTAAAAGTGAAAAACTTTTAGATTTAAGTGGTGTTCATATCCTGTTGATTTGTTTCCAGAGGCATTTATGTTTACTTATTTATTTACACTCCAGATTTTTATATTGCCCCAATCTTATACTTTGGGTCACTCATAGATATTGGCATTGTCAAATGCTAATATATATATTTTTTGCAGAGCCTGGCTAATTAGCAGTATGCTGTGGCTATTGTTATCAGTATTGGTTTCCTACTGTAGTTAATATTATTCATTATTCATTCCATTAAGCATTTAATGCCATTATGCATTAGCATTCTTTTTTTCTTTCAATCCATAACCATCTCTGTTTGCAAATAAAATATGAGACACAGCACATTGCTTGTTTGATGGGCTTGGACCTAATAGGCAAAACAAAACAAAATAAAAACCTGCTGCTTGAACAAGCTAAGTTAGAACAGCTTTTTTTTTTCAATTGGTGAGAATATTTTTAAAAAGGTGTTTAAAAACATCAGTTTTTCTGCAATTCAGGTAACAGCTAGCAGTCAAAATAAATTATGATATTTGCCTGTCCAGTCTTATAGCTTTGAAATGAAATGTAAGGAAAAAATAGCCTTGGTCTTAGTTCCCATTTTTTATACATATGATCAGAATATACAATACTTTACATATTTTCTGCCAACATAATAATTTAGTCATCGTGACTGTTGAAATACAGCCAACTTTTAATATTCCAGTTGGGGGTCTTATATTCTAACTGTAAAACAAAAACTCTGTGTATATACACACACACACACACCTCTCTTCACAATCAGAAGGCCATGAGTTCAATCCTAGGCAGCGGCAGAATATTTCTCTCTCTGGGCACAAAGAGAAAGCATTTGCTGTGAACTCCGCATAGGTGTCAGGAAGGGCATGCAATAAGTAAATGTTCAAGCTCCATTCATCCTAACTCCACCTTGATGCTAGGGATTACATGGTCATTAAAACACACACACACACATATACACACACACACAGAGAGAGAGAGAGAGCCCTGTAGTTGATTTATTGGGGAAAGAGTTCAAATGGTGAAAATTGAGGTAGTTTTACAGAGCTGGACTGCTTTAACAGGTCCCTGGCCTACTAATTTTTCACAGTATGACACTGATGTGCTCTACTAATTTTTCCCCTAAAAAGGCCAGTTGCAGATACCTGTTTAGCATTCTAACTTAGGGCTCATAATTTTATTAATACACTAAAGTTATTACAATATGAATAATGCATGCCCATTGATTTGGAGAATGAACAAAAAATCCTAGGTGTCTACTAAGACAAGAAACTTTAAGTGGTCCAAAGGGGAAAACAAAATTGAGAACCACTGATCTAGATCAAAACAGGTCTTAAAATAGTGGCAAATTTACTACTGTAGCAGCCTCTGAGAATTCTTAATTGTAAGTGTGGACTATTTTATTTTTTTAAAAAAAACATGTTTTTCTCATTTAGTTACTTAATTTGAAAATATATTTATTAATTTATCAACTAATAAACAAAAGGAAGTATTATTAGACATCCCTTGACATATTCATATTATCCAGTGTGTGTGTATGTGTGTGTGTGTGTGTGTGTGTGTGTGTGTGTGTGTGTATGTATATATATAAATGTGGATATAGATATTCTCATTTCTAACCTATTTTGTTGTGTTGGAACCACAACTGTATTTTGCTGGATTGCTTATTTTCCCAAATGTGTGGGCTGCAATGTGTTGAAAGTAGGTAATTAATCATAAATACTTTTACTTATTTTTATCTTCACAGAGCTTAGCCACTGAGTTACAGCATAATGTGAAAGAGATGCGAACACGAATCAGATGTACTAAAAAAATGCAAGAAGACAAAAAATGTGGTGGTAACATTTCCAGAGAATCTGTTCACCGGGCTCAGTCCTTGGCAGCATCAATCCTTAATATTTCAAAAACGGATTTAGATGAGATTCTCGATGTTGTAAATGATGAGGTAAGTTATGCTAATTTGTCTAAGAATTAATTTTAAATCTTTCTTTGGTGTAAAGTGGCATAGGTTCTTATAAATCAATGGGTTAAGAAATATCAGATTCCTTTAGATTTATTTTATTATTATTTTATATGTAATAAGCAATCAGTTTATCTGATGTTGTCTTTAGTTTACTTAAATAAGAAGCTCATGTTTTAATTTCTTTTTTTCTTGATAGTATTGAGCTAATATCCATTCTCGGATCTTAATTCTCCTATTATTTTAGCCACTGAACTCTCAAAATTCCATATGTTGCCAAAATGAGTATTTTTTGCCATCTGCCTCTTATTGATAAATTCCCTTTATAGGGATTATTAAAAATTACTCCCCATATCTTAAGTTAGTCAGGCCTCCACTGCTATCTAAACGTGAGATATCAATGAAGCATTTTTTGATATTATTGTGAACCCTACTGCTCACTAAATCTAATTTTGATCTCTTAAGACAAGGATAGGCAGTTCAGACTTACACAGTCTATTGAATTTTTTGCTGCAGCTTCAAGTTTCATTGACCTGGAAAAGGTGCAAAAAACATACACTTATAATTAAATACTTTTGAGCCCTGGAATTTTTTCTGAGTACCAGAATAATTAATTGACCTTACAGTCCTTCCACACAAAAATCTGCTTTCCCCTAACTTTCCTCATTTCCAGCAGTATAATTAGGAAACAGTGGCAAAAGATTTGCTATTGGTATACAGCAGTGAATTAGAAAACATAATTCATCTGTTGCATATCATGGACCTATAAATCCTGACCTATGTTCTGCCTACATCTGCTTTCAGCAATTTTAACTTTTATTTTCCTATGCTTAAGCTCCCAGCTAGGTGCAGTAACAAGCTAATCTTATTTTGATCTTTAAGAACTAAGTGAAGTTAGGGATGGCTGGAAGGGAGATCACCAGGAAATCTTAAAGTTAGATTAGGAAGTTGAAAAAATGTTCTAAAAATCTGTACTGGCAACTTTTTTTTTGTATTGTTACCAAATACACAAGGGCTGTCTAACTCACTGCCCACAGGCCGGATGCGTCACACACTGGCCATGCCCACGCCTGGTTTAACGAAGGGGGGGAATCCCGATAAGTCACGTGACGCTGCCGTGACGATGTGAGTTTGACACTCCTGGAATAAACCATTGATGTATCCATAAAATCAATAGAACCCAAGCTCAATGCATAAAATCATTGTTTTTTTATATGTTAAAATGCCAAAGCTCTGAACATCCCTCATTTTGCAATTAAATTAGATGGCTGCTGGTTCCTAATTGCTGACAAAATACAGAACGGTTAGCTTCATCAATTGGGGAGCTAAAGTCAAGCTGAGAGTTTAGGACAGCCATGAAAAAAATAAACAGTCTGGAAATTGTCAGGAAAAGAGATTTTTCCTCTTTCTGCTTTTTCTCCACTTTTTAAGAATTGCTGCTGTCAGATAGGGTGGTTTTCTGAGCAAGTAGTGTTAGTACCAGCTTCACCGTAGCATAATAGACAATTTTACAGGATTTTTTATTTTATTTTTAGGAAACAGAACAGATGAAAATGGAATATGAAAGTGACAAAGAATGGTTGGGCTATTTACAAAAACTTCTGGAAGGACAGGTATTCAACATTGTCTTTTAACAATTGTAACCAAGACTGTGGTTTATGTAGTTCATGTTGACAGATACTTATTTAATAGACCTGTACAATTTTTTTTTAGCACTTACTCTATTAGAAATTTCAAAAGGGCTTGGAAGCACCTTACACTGAACAGCTGCTTTTGGGGGGTGGGGTAGATCAGAGAAACCTTCATTCAAATAACCTCCAGAGGCTTATTATTTAATGAAAGAAGCCCTGTCTCCCTCTTGGTAAAAAAAAAAAATGGTCATGATTAAGGCCGGTGATGGCCCACTTGTTCAATCTGAAGGTTGGAAGGGATAATTTTGTCCACTGTAGTTACTTGGGTGGGTGGGCTACTCTGAATGACATCCTCACTTATTTTTGACAGCTTGGTTGAAGAGATCACGAGCTCCTGTAACAAATAATTTAATGGTGGCCAAGCCTAAAGTGTCTGAGAGTGTCTCATTCTGCTCCTTTCCCTATTGGTAGGTTCTCATATTGTTAAAAAAATGGGAAATTGTCACAGGCTACTGGTGTTAATGCAAATGTCTCTTGGGTGATCTACTATTTTCTGATGGAAGAAGCTCCTATCAGCTTGTTTAGGAGACATTTCCAAAGATGGATGCCTAGTTGAAAATATTACAACATTCTTTATCCATTTAATCTGGCAGGTGCCTCTTTTGCTAGGAACTCAGAAATCATAATAAGGATATAATCTCTCACATGGGTTTGCCATTTTCCAATAAAAAATATCTGGGAAAGACATGTCTTGGCCAAGCCAATAGCAGTACTCCAAAACCATTATTTTTCTCTCCAGTCACCTCTTATTTATGACTCATAGGAATGCTTGCAAAGTGAGGGCACCTTACCTTCCTTATCTAGGAAGGCAGAGGAACTGAAGTGGAGGGGACTATAAAAACAGTAATGCCAATCACTTGCAAACAAAGATCCATTGATTAGCCATCCCAAAAATAGGGAAAAAGTGAGTGAGTTGAAAATTTTTTGGATGCCTTGAAATAATTCCTATTAATATGAGAAGTTCAGGTACAGATTTGATTAGTGAATATCAAACTTGTTTAAAATAATTTTTAAATTATCTTTATTCAGATTATTAATTGAAATGTTTTCTCTTGGGTTTTTTCCCCTTCAATTTAAAAAGTTCTCCAAATTCAAGTGCATTTTGTAAGGTTTTGAGTGAGATGAAGGACAGGTTAGCACTATATTTGTTTGAGCTAACTTTACAGATAGAAACTAAAACATCTAGGGATACAGGCAAATGTATTAATTAAATTATTGAGCCCCATCTGTATCCTTGGTGGAAAGAAAAGGATCCATTCTCTCATCCGTCTTTTTTAAAAAGAGATTTTTTTTATTATCTGCCTTTAAAGTTAGTAGTTGATATGGACACCTGAGGAGTTCATGGGTTTCAGTGACCTTTTACTATGGACCTGTTTCCAGTCAATTCATGTTTTCCTCACAGCCAGACAGCTGTTTATTACCATGTCTTCCCGCATACTCTACAATATTTTCTACTGAGACCTCAAGCAGCTTGTTAGTGGGAAGTAAATATTGATTTGGCATCCTGTCAATGCAGAAAGAATGAAAAAATTTCCACCAGAGGCCCCTCAAACATTTTCCTATCGACATTTTCTGGGCAGAGTGGAAAACTGCATAGAGGATGACAAGGCTGAGACTAGTTGAAATCCCTGAGGGGTCCATTGAGACTGCCGCTGTGACCTGTGTGATACTTTTTCTTCTCTTTCAAGTCTTTTTTTTTTTTAATACACACACAGTCTGCTGGGAGGCACCCCTCTTGTAAGTGATCAAGGGCAGCTTATTGGCAGGTGAGAGCCTGCTTTTCTAGTCATAGCAAGGCAGCTTTTGTTTCAAGATGGCTGACAACATAAACTGGATTTTTCAAACTTCTGTCGACTGTAATGCATTTTTCATTGTCATTTTGTTAATGGGGCGGTCAAGTCTGAACGGCAACTGCTTTTAAAAAATGCTCATGACAAACATCTTGATAGTTAGTGCGCTGATGGCATCAGCTTCGTTTCTGCTCAGGAATTATGAATAAGCAGTGGTGATCAGTATAAAGTTGTTTTTTTTATCAGCCAGATGAGGATATAGCACGTGTTTACTTAGTTGAAAATTTATAGTTGAATCTTTTATGACAGCTGTTATTTATTATCAAAATATTTTTGCTAAACAAATGTCAATAACTTGATTGTCAACAAATTCTGCTAATGTGACTTCAACTGGAAATACCAATTGTACAATTGCATTCTAGAATTGATTCACATGTAACTCTGATTACTCTTCATTGTGGGTAAGACATTTGGATCAGGTACCAGGAGCAAATGCTTCTCCTTACTTGATTAGCATGCAGATTATCACTGTGCTCTAACTTTACTCTGTGTTACTACTCAGTTGTCACCAATGTTTACAGTGGCTAATGCTAAATAAGATTTGGGTTCCAAGAAATAACTTTTTAGGGGTAACATTGAAGGTGAAGTAGTGATATTTAATAGAACCTTAAAGTTAGAAAGATTATCTACTCCAACTTCCTGCTCAGTAGAATATCTTTGAAGGCTTACTACTCGGTCTCTGTTTAGAAACCTTCAATGGAGAAGTTACCACTTTTGTCAGGCAATATTTTTATTTATATAGTCAGGAAGTTCCTCCTCTTGTTTACCCTGAATCTACGTCCTTGCAGTTTCAATCTCTTTGTTCTGCAGCAATAGAAGATAAATCCACATCCTCTCTTATGTAACAATATTTTCATATATTTGAATATAGTTTTATCATCTCAGTCAACTTTTTTGAAAGCTAAATTTCACAGATCCTTTAGTTGTGAATCCCCCATAGGAACTGGTTTCCAGATTTTCACCATCTTGGTGAACAAGCCCTCTGAACTTGCCCTGATATGGCATGGTCATTTTTGAATTGGGGTGCCTGGAACCAGTCACAATATTCCAAGTGGAATCAGAGTAAAGCAGAGAATTATTTCTTGTGATCTGGTTTCTATGCTTTGGAAATGATATAAGGAAAAAAGGGGTGATGTAGGGCCATGCTCTCATTTTGTTTGCTCTGCCTTTTAACCAAGATTCTTAGTTATCCAGAACTGCATTTGCACCAGTATTTGAGCATGAGGCATCTGGATCTGCTCTGATACAGAGGGGCTCTCTCCATCATATTATTTTGAACTTTTAATCATGGCAGAAACATTTATATTGTCAAACTTTTAGATTGTCCAACTTAATTCAATAGAGCTTACTCCAAAGGAAGTGTGTGCTAGGTTTTTGATTGTATTTGATTTTATTTCCCATAATCACAAATGCAAATTTTGGAGAGATCTGAGTTTAAGGGTGACTTCTACCTTTGTTTAGGCTTCTAGTCTGCAAATACATACTGTTGACATTTTATTTCATTTTACAGCCCTTAAATTGCCCTTGTCATGGCTTGCCGTAGGAAAATAAAAGCAGTTCAGTTCCTTACATAAAGAAAAATATTTCCTAAGAAACACGTCTGAATAAGAATAAAAGGGGCATGAAGAAGAATCTGAAGGAGCTGATTTTTAAAAAATATATTTATGAAAATAAAGGTGACATGATATGTTGAGAAGCTTTACAGCAGGGGTGTCCAACCTTGGCAACTTTAAGACTTGTGGACTTCAATTCCCAGAGTTCCTCAGCCAGCTGGCTGAGGAACTCTGGGAGTTGAAGTCCACAAGCCTTAAAGTTGCCAAGGTTGGACACCCCTGCTTTACAGCATGCACCAGCACATTTTTCTGGGGGTCCAGAATCATCTCATGTTCCTGGCAAGTGCTGCCTGGGATGAGACTCCTTGCTTTTTCTGTGGGGACTACACACTCACTAAGAAGCTGGAAAAAAATCGGATCCTCTCTCTGTGATTTAACGTAACCCATTCAAAACATTGACACGTTCACATCAGCTTTGTGATATGCTGGGTTTAACTCTCGGTTCCCCCCCACACCTCCACCACCCTTTCTTTTTCTTTTCTTTTTTCTTACAAAATGCCTTGCAGCAAAGTACATGAGATCACTTAATTCTGAAGTTTGATATAGTGTCTTCTCGTGACATCAAGCCTGGCCTCTGGAACATAATTGCCCAACAGTATTGATTTAATTGCCTAGGTTTATTTGTGGACTCCTAATTATTGACTGGAGGTAAATTTAATGGAGAAACCTTTATCAACGCAAGGGAAACTGCTGCTGTTGCTGTTGTACACAAATGAACAGCATCACATCCCTTTAGATCATTTTTCAAGCTAATTTTATTCCACTGTGACAGTATGATAACATTTAAAATGTCATAGACATTTTATTTTTATTGCTGACATGCACCGTTTTAGTGCTACGTTAGAATTTGGGAGGGAGCAGTTTCATGTGAACACTAGTTGTTCTTTATTGTCATTCCCCAGGAGGATAATAATAAACCAGGCCACGCCTCTGGTGTAGATTCCATTTCCACTTGAATTTTATATTGAGGTTGATACTGAAGGGGATTGAACTGGCCACCTATTGCAGTTGTTAATAATAATATGTTGGTGAGCAAATATATCTCTGATAACTGCAGAACACATATACCAATATCGATATATATATATGTTTGTGTGGTTTTTATCTTGCTGTTCAGACACACCGAAAAGAGATTTCCAAAACAAGTCATAAAGATAAATAACAAGGTTCTCAGGAGTATTATCTTAAAGAGAAAAAGGATTTTGGAGTGAGGAAGAAAGGAATAAAAAAAAGAGTTTCATCTAATAATTACAGAATAGGTGGTATAGGTATAGTCAGGGAATATGTAAAACATGCAGTGTTGAGAATAGGATAAAAACAAGGTCCATCGAACAACCAATCTTCCATAAAAGGGAACTGGTAACACAGTAAGAAAGCTAGAATAAAAAAAATGTTTGTCCTTTTTTTGTTGTAGTCTTCGTGCATAATTTAATTTAATAATTTAATTTAAGGTAATTAA